GCCGCCCCACCTACCGCGTGCAGGAGGCCAGAGCGGTCTCAGCCGTCTCGAGCGAGAGGGGCAGCCGAGGCCACAAAAGTTGGGCGCGCTGTCCCCTCTGAGCCCCTGGGGGGGTCCTTTTCTTTCCCCTCTTGTTATGCTCTCCAATTTCTCACCACCGAATATCAGTCGTCGAGCGCCCTGCATGCAGAGCGGTGCGGTGCTTGAGCCCGAGCGCTCAGAACAAAACATTACAGAAGCCGTACGTCCAAAGGCGCGTCACGAGGCGCTACATGCTGGATGACTTCAGACATATCAGAGAAAGAAGGACGCACGCAGGGAGGGAGGGACGCGCGACGAGCGGGGACGGGAGGCGAGGCGGAGCGAGCGAGGGCGGGACGAACGACGAGGGGGGACGACCGAGGAAACGCGAGAGAGGGAGGAAAGCGCAAGCGCACCACAGCCAGCCCGTTAGGGCGCGCATGCCGCATTCACGTGCTCTCTACAGCTGCGTTCGTCTAAAATGAGATTCTCCCATCGACGGCCATCCCCATCTACTCGAACGACGTGTGGATGCTCGCGCTCAATTGTTGTAGTCGGTGTCTAGATCCGGATGATCCAATCAAGTTATGGCGTTGGACAACATGCTGGTCGGGTATCTGTAGAGTAGCTGAATGCACACTTGAATGGCACCACAAAAAAAGAGCAGACACCGCACCGCCCACATGAATGGCCGTCCCAGAAGTCCATGCTGGAGCGGTCGTCACACAGCCGCCTCCTCCCGCGTCCGCAGCTCGCCCCCCCGCGGGATCGCGTTCCCCCGTGAGCTCGCCCGGGCGGCCTGGCCATCGAGGGACCTCGAGGAAGCCGAGGCCGGCCGAAGGCCCCTCGGGGAGGAGGAGGAAGAGCCCGTGCTGGACGGCGTCCGCCCCGAGCTCCGGGAGCGCGGGCGCCCGACCTGCCCGCCGGTCCACTGCCTCGTCAGCCGCGCCAGCTCTCGGTCGCTTTCGTCCACCTCCTCGTCGCGCTCCCTGGCCAACGCCTCCGTCTCCGTGTCGGAACGCATGTGGGCGGTGACGAGGTCCTCTGGAGCAAGGGCCATCATGAACATGGTTAACTCGCGCATGGTGATCGTGCCGCCGTCGGTGTCCATGGCGCAGAAGATGAGGTCGAGATCCTCCTCGGGCATGTCGAGGTCTTTGAACTTGGTTTTGATGACATCACCGAACTCTTTCCGTGTGATAGCTTGGGAATAGCTCAATTCAAGCATGTCCGCCACTCCATGGGCGTGATTGACCAGTCTCCTGATGCCCGAATCGACGAAACACGAGCAGCATGCCGCTTTCTCTCGCAATTTGTCTTTCGTCGACTTCACACGGGATACGTTAGTTGAGCTCGATCCCGTGGCAATGTTGCTGGAAGACCCCCCCGAAGTCTGCGGTCGTGCCACGTACTCATCGCTGCTGTTGCGCTCGTCCAATGGGTTCATGGTCGCTGCCCTCGCCAACTTCAACAAACGCAACCGGAATCGGCAACTTTGCGCGACCGCGTCGTGAAGCTTCCCAGACTCCGTGTCCTTGATCATCTGCACGACCTGCTCATTGTGGTTCCAGACCCGGAACCCTCCGCCACCGACTATGAGACGCTGCTGTCTCTTGTGATTGCTGGCCTGCTGTCCGAACAGCACATTGATCATCGTATTCGTAGCGTTCTGCAACACTTGTACGTCGTTGTCAAGGAGTCCGCCCGCCTTTCGGAACAGATCCTTCTCGGGCATCATGAGCATGGCAGTCGAGACGTCCCGGAGGCGCCACACTGTGTGAGCCATCTGACCGTGCACCATGC